AAGAGAGAGAGAGGGAAGAAAGAGAGAGAGAGGTAAATAGAGAAATGACAGAGAGAAGAAGCGTAGGGTGTTTGCAAACATGTTACTAAAAGTGTTAATGTTAAAATTTTTAATTAATGTCAAAAATAAGAAAATTAAATTAAATTAGATTTATTAGGGTTGGGTGAAGTAGAAGTCTTGAAGATAAAGTACTTGAGTGTGGGTGGGTGTTGGGTAAGGGTGAATTTAATTTACATCTTTGTCGTGGAAAGAGAGTGATGGCGCCAGTTGAATTGGTTGGACCACCCAACTCGAGACCCGGCTCCTTGACCAGGTCATTATACGAATCGGTTTTATGAGTTACATTAATATATTTTCTACAATATCATAAGATGATAAATACATTGATGAAACAAGTTGAAAACTACGTATGAAAAACCAAAACTTTGGACCACTACATGATAGCATTGTCTTTAAATATTTCTAAAAATTAAATAAAAAAATCCTAAAATTTTCAAAAAAAAATTCTTAAAAATACTAAACAATCTTAAAATTCAATTAAATTCTTTAAAAAGGAAAAATTCAAAAAAATATTGAAAAAGGAAAAACTACCAAGTTTAAAGAATTTCTAAAATTTATAATTTTTTTTAACTTATTTTAAATTTTCTTATATTTTAGTTAAAGTTATTGAATATTTTATCTTAAATTAATTTTTTTTTGAAAAATTTAGATATTTTTCTTAATTTCATAGTAACTTATTTTTAGGGGTAATTTGATCATTTCATAAGTCAAAATAGGTCAAGAGTTTAGTTTTAAGGTAAAAAACTAACGACTGGAGAGGTAGTTAGATTTAATTAATTTTTATGTTAAATAATTTTTTTTTATGGGATAACACAGGGACTAGCTGCAATTTTCAAAACTACGGGGGTACTGGAGGGTCTAAGCCCAATTTAATAGGTTTGGGCAAAACTTAGGGCCCATAGGTTCCTTTGGCATTAGCTTTTACAATTGGAGCTAATTTTTAAGAATAATACTTTGGGTACTAATAGATGGGTACTAATTTGTGTACTAATTAAAGCATAGTACCCGTACTATGCGCATAGTACGGATACTATGCTTTAGTTAGTACACAAATTAGTACCCATCCATTAGTACCCATAGCATCACTCAATTTTTAATCCATTTTGAACCTTGATTCTTAAAAAACAGTATTATCATTAAAATTGAAATTTTAAAAATTCAAAAGAAAACCTGAAATTTCAAAAAATTTCTTAAAAATACAAACAAACAAAAACCATAAAATTATATTAAATTCATACTAAAAATAAAGAAGCAAAATTCATTTAATTAAAAGCCGACCAAGTTCAAAAACTTTGTTATTTATTATTATTATTTTTTGGGTGTTTTTTAGTTGCTTTAAAATTTCTTATGTTTTTGGTAATTTTTTATGTTAACATAAAAAATTTGAAAATCTTTAGGTATTTGTTGTGCGTGATTTTTCCATTAAGTTCGGAGAAATCAAAATTCCGTGAGGTTATAGTTCGGTCCAAAATCAGCTTGGCTCAATATATGTCCAATCCAGCGTAAACTCGTCGAGATATAGCTCGACGCAACATAAGCTAGCTGCGACTAATCTCAAAAGTTGTTCAAGCAAATCAAAGATAAGCACAGATCCCGAACATTTCGAAAGAGATCAGATCGATATCAATAATAGCGCGATCTTAGCGCTAAATCGCAAGAATATCGGAGTTGAATTTCAATCTTAATTGTAATTCCTTTAATTTCGCTATTTCCATTGTAAAAAACTTGTATATAAACCCCTTTTAACGATGGAGAAGGGGTTAGCAAATTATTCTAAGAACTATATTATTTTCTTTTAAGTTCTCAAAGCAAATAAGAAAAACAGTAGATGTAGGCTCAAGATCAAAACTTGCCGAATCACTTAAAAAATATTGTGTTCTTTACATTATTGCCTTTACATTCATACATTTCTGGTTATCTTTAATCACGCACATATCCGTTTCAGTTCCACCAAGGTCAATCAAATCACTCAAGTTAGTACAATTCTTGTATCAACATTTTGGCGCTAGAAAGAGGTTCCCCACCTACTTTCAAAAATTCCAACAATCAATTTCAGTGACTTGATCACGTAAAAATACAAATGGCCTATAACAGATCAAAAACCACCACCGAAAACCACGATAATGTGGAAATCGTCAATCAGGAGGTGTAGCAAACTACTCCTCTAGATCATATGATAAATGCATTAATAAAACAAGTTGAAAATTACATATGAAAATCCAAAAGTTTTGATCGATTTTGACCACTACCTGATAGCATTGTCTTTAAATATTTCTAAAAATTAAAAAAAAAATATTTAAAATACTAAACAATCTTAAAATTCAATTAAATTCTTTAAAAAAGCAAAAATCATAAAAACTATTAAAAGAAGCAAAACTACCAAGTTTAAAGAATTTCTTAAATTTATAATTTTTTTATTGTTTTAAAATTTTCTTATGTTTTAGTTAAAGTTATTGAATATTTTATGTTAAATTATTATTATTATTTTTTAAATTTAGATATTCTCAATTTCATAGTAACTTATTTTTAGGGGTAATTTGATCATTTCATAAGTCAAAACAGGTCAAATGTTTAGTTTTAACGGAAAAACTAACGACTGGCGAGATAGTTAGATAATTCAGATAACACAGGGACTAACTGCTATTTTCAAAACTACAGGGGCACTGGAGTCTTGAGGGTATGGGTAATGCTATGCGTACTAACAGATTTTACTAACTAGTGTACTAACTTAAAGCATAGTACGGGTACCATACACATAGTACGGGTACTATGTGTGATTTTAACAAAGGTTAGTACACTGTTAGTAAAATCCGTTAGTATGCATAGTATTATTCAGAGGGTATAAGCCTAATTTAATAGATAATTATATTTAAATCCTAAGGTTTGGGCCAAACTTAGGGCCCATAGGTTCCGCTGGAATTAGCTTTTACAATTGGAGCTAACTTTTAATCTATTTTCAATCTTGATTTTTAAAAAACAGTATTATCATTAAAATTGAAATTTTAAAAATTCAAAAGAAAACCTGAAATTTAAAAAAAATAAATCATAAAACTATATTAAATTCATAATAAAAATAAAGAAGAAAAAATCATTTAATTAAAAGCCTACCAAGTTGAAAAAATTTCTTAATTACATTTTTTTTTTTTTTTTGGTTTTTTTCAGTTGCTTTAAAATTTCTTATGTTTTTGGTAATTTTTTATGTTAATCATAAAACATTTGAAATCTTTAGATATTTTTCTTAATTTTGTATAAATTTATTTTCAAAGATAATTGTGTAATTTTAATACTACAAGGAGTAGAATAATTATAGATAGTGAAAGGTACCAAAGATTAAATCCAAATACAAATTACTCTCTCTCTCTCTCGCTCTCTTAATGTTCAACAAGAAACATTTTATATGAGAAGGTCTGTCGTGGTGAGACCAGAAAATTAAAACTAATCTTATATATATATAATTTTGTAAGAGGGAGTTTAATTGATATTTTGTAGAGAAGTTTTTATAATTACAAAAGTGTATTCAATACTTTCTGAACGAAACAAATAGGGTTAATAATGCTAGTAGATCTGAGAAACAAGAGCAACTAAACCACAGAAGACGAATTTACAATATAACTTTGACAATGGTTTGTGTATTACAAGCTTAATTAGCTCACTGAAAAAGAGAACATCAATTGGGTATAGAGAAAAAAATAATAAAGAAAGTTGAAAACTTGAAGAGAAGGTTTTTAGAAGAGATGACCCGTGGTGGACATTAAAACTTCTCTAGTGATTCCACTTCCTCTATTTCAGGTTAAGGGAGAAAGAGAGAGAGAGAGGGAAGAAAGAAGGTAAATAGAGAAATGGCAGAGAGAAGAAGCGTAGGGGTAGAGTGTAGGGTGTTTGCAAACATGTTACTAAATGTGTTCATGTTAAAATTTTTTAATTAATGTCAAAAATAAGAAAATTAAATTAAATTAGATTCATTAGGGTTGGGTGAAGATAAAGTTATCGAGTGTGGGTTGGTGTAGGGTAAGGGTGACTTTAATTTACATCTTTCCTGTGGAAAGAGAGTGATGGGGGATAATAAATAATGATGAGTTGTCACCAGTCCGATCCCACCCGACAAGAGACCGGATTCCTTGACTAGGCCATTATCCGAATCGGTTTTCAAAACATTGAAATAAACCCCTTCTAAAACATTAATAAATTGAACAACAAACACTTGTTGTTGTACGTTCGCATGCGTGTTGCCTCAATGTCTCAAGTAACCTTCAAAGCCAACAACATCAAACTTGCATCGTTTCAATTAGTTCTTTGGAATAATTGTTGGAAAATAACTCCATAAATAATTACTGTCTAACAACAGTGAGTGAAAGTGTATCATTAACTCTAATTGTCCGTTGGTACCTTATAATCTATATTCAGTTCAATGACACAATTTTCGATTTTAACTGAGTATATGATGATTCCCATTAGAATCTACACATTTATCTTATTTTATATATTTTAATACATTATCTTTATGTCGAATAAAATCTCGTTATATTTTCTATTTCTTTCATCTTAACTCTTACAATTAATATTCTTATAGAAGTAACATGCTATGGTTTCTTCCTCTCAAAAGTTTTTCTTCATTTACAGGTTTTTATTATTATTATTAATTTTTTTAATTTTTTTTGCCTAAAATGCTTCTTTAGCTGGAATTGTCCTATCTCCCATGATTTCACTATACTTTGATCTTCTCCTCTGGAGCAGAACTTCTTGAACATTAGAATCTCAATCATGCATTACCATCTACAAACCTTTCATGGGATTTGAGGCTCTGCAGTTTTGAGTTGTTTGATATTTTTATTAGTTAATTGTAAATGATTTTAATGTGAGCTTAAAATACATAAAAAAATATTTTAATTTGCTGGATTCATTCTTTAAAAAACAAATACAAGAAATGATATGGAACAGGCACTTACAAAAACCATAGCAAGTCAAAGGCAGAGAAAAGGCCAGCAGGATGGAGTGAAGAGTTTAATTCCAAGAATTATTTGTTCATAAGGTTTAAGCACTCAAACAGTATCACTTCAATCTTTTTGGATACGGCTGCTGATCAGGGCTGTAATCAGGGCTTCGCTTGATGACACTACTTGTTACTGCTAATCTATCAGGAGCCAAAACCTCAGGACTAGTATTGCTACTAAGACTACTGGATGCTTTGATGAATTCTTCAATGTCAGAATCATATACTGGATGGAGCCCACACGTTTTTACCTTCGTAGTAACGCCTTTATCGGTTTTATCTCCAAAAGAAACTTCTAGTAAATCGTTGTCAGTGAGACAACTTCTAGAAATGTAGAACAACCAGAGGTGATCTTTCCCAGCCAAGGAATTTAGAAGGAATGTCATGGAGAGAATACGAGTCCTTTTTGTGTCCAGGGGTGTCTTGGAAACAGCATGTGCAGGATTGATAGTCACTTGTGCGTCACAATCAAGTTTCATCCATATGTCCTTTAGATCATGCACCGAAAGAACAGCACAAAATGCCAGTCCCCTACACGTTAGCAATGGCTGAGAAATTCTTATTGATGATCCTTCACTCCGATAAATGAACCAGTCTGGAACTTCAGATCCAGGAACAACAATTTCGAATTCAGGACGTGTAACTAGTCCCTGTGAATAAAGAAGAGGCATTATCAGAAGCTATATGAGAGTGACGAGAGAGCCAGAGTATTATTTTCCGAGGCACAGTTATAATTATTATCTAATAATAATTACATGAAAACTGTTCCATCAAATCGTCCTACTCATGGTTAATGTCATCATGCATAGGCAATAAGCTACCATTTACTAATTTATTCTTCATATGATTTTACAATTAATTAAAATAATGGTTATAATTAAAGATATCAAAACTAAAACTGAAGTCACAAATAAATAAATTAATTTATATAGCCATACCTGAACTTCACTTTTTAACAGCGAAAGAAGCATATTTTTAAAAAAGGTGACTGTCACACCATTGGTTCTTCTACTTCCAGCCAGTTTGAAGCAATTTTTTAAATAAAACTTTCGTGATCTTGGTTTGAATATATGTGATGGACTTGATGATATTATTTCCAAGGATGTGCAACTCTGAGCATATAATCTACCTGTACTTGCTGGAAGCTCTGGCAAGGCTTGAAGTCGACGGCAATAATTTATAGAAAGAGTTTTAAGCTTAGGGAGTTGACTGATGCTTGGAGGTAAACAAACAAAATTGTTTCGGCTCAGATTTAATTCTATTAATGATGGTAAGAAGCCAATATCAGAGGGAATTGCACCTTCCTGGAGATTGCAATTACCTAGATCCAAGTGTCTTAAAGAGCATAAACCTGATAAAGAAGGTAACCTCAAGCCCATGGACTCTGGATTTGCTCTAGAGAATAATCGGAACAAGCTGGAAAGAGAACTCCAGAACTTTCGAGGTTCTCCTTTGCATCCATGAAAAGATAACTGCTCGAGGTTTTTCAATAGCACAATAGAAAATGGTGGTTGGCTTATAGCAGTTCCACCTAAATCAAGATTTTTCAAACTTACCGCACGCCCCAAGTCCTCTGGCAGTTTGCCTAGTTTTGAGCAGCCAGAAAGGATAAGAACTTCAAGAGATTCCCATTCAATTTTAGCTCTGAGACTCCTAAGCTGTTTGCAGTCTTTTAGATTCAGTAATATAAGCTTTTTGAGGAGTCCAATGGATGGGTGAACAAAAGATAAACTTGTACAACCATCAAAAATCAGTCTCTTAAGATTTGAGGCACCAGTGAAGTCTGGGGTCTCAGTTAAGTATGTTGAGTGACTGAGGTTAATAATAGTCAATTGGTTCAAATGCTGATAGAAGGAAAATAAAAACTAAATTAGAAAAGATCAGTTTCAACAAACAAGAAAAGTTGAGTTACATATTAGACAAAGAAACAGAGATGCAATTGAGAATGTTACCTCTACTCCTTTCCAAAGTTGTTTAATGTGGCTGTAACACATGTTAAGTTCGAAAAGTTTGTTGTGTTGAAAATTGGATGGCAAAGATCTTAAGGGGTAACCATGCCAATTCAGAAGACGTAGCTCATCTGAAAGATATTGAAGGCTTTGGCAAAGGCTTGCATCTTTGATTTTCAGCAATCTTAGACTGTTCATCCTTGAAAAGGATTTAGCATTCAATTTTAACTCTTTGTATGCGGGAAAATCAAGGATTATGCCTTCAACAGCCTCTGTGCCCTGATGGAAAAAGAGCAATCGTTAAGTGATCGGGTGAAAAAAAATAAAACTTCAATCCTATCTATCTGATATTGTATCTATATATTGCACAGTATATTGACATAATGATGTTTCAAGTTTGCAATCTCTCCAGAACTGCATACCTCATTTTTTGTCAATAAACGCTGAATATCATCAGAAAGCCACAACCTACTACGCTGCCCAGGCTTTTCTGGGCACTCTTGGCGAACAATTTCCCTACCCATATACTGTATCAAATCATGCATACACAATGAGTTGTTTGAAAGAGTTATAATACATTTATCAATCAAAACGCTAATTCCAATATCTGGGTGAAAATCACAACTGTCTAGTATTTCTCTTATTTCATCTTTGTCCCTCCCTTTAAAGAAACAAGCAACATCCAGAAATATTTTCTTCTCTAGTTCCTGCAGCCCATCGTAACTTATTTTCAGTATATCAAAAATTGTTCTGTCAGGAACTTTTTTCAATCTATCCAATGCGTCTTTCCACTCAGCTTTGCTTCTGCCAAACAAAAACGATCCCAAAACTTCAAGAGCTAATGGAAGGCCAGCATCATAACTGACCATTTGCAATGAGAGCTCTAAATAACCATCGGTAGGATGACCTTTTCTAAAGGCTTTCCAGCAAAAGAGCTGAAGGGCTTCCTCATGACTTAATTCATCAACCATATGCACATTATCCACGCCATGGCTAACTAGCAAATGTTTATCTCTAGTTGTAATGATGACTCTACTTCCCAAACCAAACCAATCATGCATTCCAGCTAATGCTTGTAATTGTTCTAATTGATCTACATCATCAAGAATAACAAGAACCCTTTTATGCCGTAACCTTCTCCTTATCTCAATACTTCCTCCGTAAACATCCCATATGTTTATGTTTCTTTCTATCAAGATTTGTGAAATAAGTTGTTGCTGTAGGGCGACCAGATCTTGTGTCATGGAAACTTCTCTCACATTGGCAAGAAAGCTACTACCATCAAATTGATAAGAGATCTTGTCAAAAACAGATCTTGCAAAAGTTGTCTTACCTATTCCCCCCATTCCGCAAATCCCTAACATGCGAACATCATTCAAACCCATACCGAGTAATGGATCCATTTGCTTCATTCGTGACTCCATTCCGACCAGATTGCCATTTGTATTTAAAAATGTAGGACCCAATTTACATGATATTTCGTCAACAATGCCCTTAATAATTTTTGATTCTTCCCTGCAAATGAAGGAAGAAAAAAATCAAATACATGGAAAGTTAGCATGAGCTACAAATAGGTAAAGAAATCTTAAGCCAATATATAATTTTCTTTTACTTGGAATTGAATATCAATTCCAATAGCTGTCATAATATTGAATCAAAATAAGTTGAAATGAACTACTAACAATCCAAGTAACGAATTTTTGTTAGTTTGAGAAGCTTTCCTTCGAGCCATCAGAACAGTGATAAAAAGATCTCTGCACTGGCTATTTATTTTGAAACGAATTTTCAAGTTGTAACATAATACAGAGCATATCTTAGATGGCCAACAACATTCCATAAAATAATTTTCATCCCCCTTAAATTTTAATCTTGGATCTGCCCCAAGCATATACACTATATTAAGTGTTGAACTTCATACCACCTATAATGTGTAATGCTGCATACTGTTAATTACTAATAGATTATACCACTTGCTATTTGAACTTAAGATATACATTCCGCAAGGATACTTCTCAGTATTAATTTATCTCAATATGAGTATTTGTGAATTCAGATTGAAATGTAAAAGAAAACAGATTGGAAAGATAACTATTAGTGTTACCTGTTCTGCAAATGCCATCCGGAGAGATTGGCAATCTTTGTCATGGCAACCCTCCACCTTTGCACCTTTTCCACATCTTCCCTAAAATTTTGTTCATGTTCTGCAAAAGCTTTCTCAAAACTTCCTGTTTGATTTCTGACATCGGATGGACTGACATTGTAGAAAACTGGCAGAACTATCTGACCCATCACTTTCATGCATTCCCAAATCTTCACGAGTTCATCCAGGCACCACGTTGAAAATGCATAGTTTTCTGAAAAAACAACGAGTGCAAACCTTGATTCTTCAATTGCTTTAAAGAGTTCCAATAATATTACCTTTCCCTTTTCAAGTCTATGGTTATCTTTAAAGGTAAATATTCCTTTCTGATCCAATGCAGAATATAAATGACCAGTGAAGTTTTTGCGCGTGTCTTTTCCTCTAAAACTCAAGAAGACGTCATATTTCCTTTCAGGCAAGGTAGAATTAGTAGGAAGGTTTGATGGTATTTCAATATGCATACTTGTGGAAGCCACTGCCAACTTGCTTGTGCTAAGCTATTGCAGATAAATAAACTACACCTGAAGAATATAAATGATCAAACAATTCTCCATGGACCCCAGGAAAAGAGGCAAGAATTATAACCATTAAGCTAACCATAAATCATAAATATGGAAAAGGAGAACACATTGAAGATTAAATGTTTTCTTTTTCAAAGAAGAAGTTAAATTTAACCACCTTAACTTTTCTGGTTTTCCATAACTGTTTTATTTTAATTATCACCCCATCTTCAAATTAAGCCTATCAGGACCACTACTCCGAAGAGAGTCTTGTATCCTTGCTTCCAGTTTTGGACCCTTTGATTTATGGTATCAAAATAAAGATTCTTTAATTGTTCATAACTTGAGTTATCAAGAATGCGATTGATTCTACCCAAAAAGTCTCAGTTGCGGACTTCCACATTGTTTGACTCCAAATAATAAATTCTACAAAAACAAAAATTTACAGTGCTGAATATGAGAAAATTTGATTAAATTTCTGTCTTTTAGTGTTTACCAACACTGTAAACCGTTTACCATGCCATCTAACAAGATTACGTCCGCATGAGAGACCAACTATGATTTTTCTTTACTTCTTTAGCAAGAAACATTATATGCAAAACAGTATGTTACAGTCGAAATCTACTAACATATTTAAGCTGTTGAGCTGTGAATCATTATGCCAATAAATGAACAAACATATATTATAACTAGGAGTAATATTTGGTTATTTATTTATTTATCTATTTATTCTTTAGTTAGCAGGTGAAAAAAAAAAACACAGAGCACACAAAACGTCGTTGTTCGATCAACAATTTGCTAACGGAAAATTTTATAAAGTACTCTACATTCTAAATTGTTAGGCTAAATTATTTTCTTTTCAACCCAGGGCGAAACTAGATACAGATTGACCTGGGCTACAGCGCCGGTCAACTTTTTGAAAAAAAAAACAATTCAGGCTAGAATGATTTTATAGCGCATTAGGTAGTTAATTTTTAATTAATTCTCGCATATAAATCTTATGACACAAACAAAGCACAAACTGCTGAAGAAAAACAGATTAATTACAAAAAAAATAAATAAATAAAAACATACTCTCTCTGGCGACTTGAAGAACCTCTGTTTGTTGAGTTTGGAAACTGGTGAAGAAAATATGGCGAAAACAATTAGTCCAAATCAAGAAATGGAAAATGAAGTGTCACACTCCACGACTAGAGAAATATGAGATAATGAGAAAGTAAAGCGGAAAATTTTAAAAAGTTGTATTTAAACTTAAAAGAGCGGGAAACACGTCGCAGGAAGCAATGCGTCACATCTAACCTTTTGAAATTACATTTGAACCCCATATGTTTCAGAATTATACATTTATATTCCTTGTTGATAGAGTTACTTAAGAAACCACCTCTAGATTTTCAGAAATGGTCAGTTAGACGGACTCTATATAATATCTAGGGATGAAACCATAGCAAGTCAAAGCTAGAGAAAAGGTCAGTAGGATTGAAGGGTTTAATTCCAAGAATTCGTTGTTCATGAGAAAGTAAATTGGTAACTAATAAAGTCAGGGCAGATCCAAAAATTTCTGTTAGAATGGATTAAAATAAAAAATAATTGTACATTAATATTTCTTTGCATTAATATTTTTGGACCAAAATCCAAAAATTATATATATTAATATTTTTTAAAAATTTGAGGGTAGGCTAACTAGTAATGCATCTGCCCTGGTAAAGTTAGTGGAGGTGTCATAAGTGGTGATTAGGACTGTAAACGAGTCGAGTCGAGCCGAACTTTTGACTTATCGACCTCGGCTCGTTACTACAGTATCGAGCTCGAGCCTGGCGAGCCTCAGAATTGAGACTCAAACTCGAGCTCAGTCAAGTTTGAGGAGAGCTCAAGCCAGCTCGTGAACCTGATATCGAGCTCGTTAAGTCATTAAAAGGAGAGAAGAGCTCGTTAAGCCCAAAAAATGTTGCTTAACTGAAAGTGAAAAAGAAAGAAGAAGAGATAAGTAAAATGAAGAAGAGACGAAGAAGAATAAAGGTTGAAGAAGAAGAGAGAAGTAAAATGAAGAAAGAGTAGAAGAAAAAGAAAGGTTGAAGAAGAAGAGAGAAGTAAAATGAAGAAGAGTAGAAGAAGAAGAAAGGTTGAAGAAGAAGACGTGGTTGAGGTAAGAGAGAAGAGAAGTGACTGAAAGCAAGAAGACACGGTTGAGTTGAAAGAAAAGAGAAGTGACTGAAAGCATTAAAAGGAAAGGACATACGTATGTGGTGCGCATTGCCCAACAATCACTCCTATTTTATTTTTCAAAGTTTATTATTGAAAAATATCAGTTTAATATCTCATAGTTTAAAAAATACCAAAGCACCCGTATAAGTGTATAGTATTTATTCAAGCCGGACCAGGCTCACGAGCCCACGAGCTGAGCTTTACTGTGTTCGAACTCGACTCGATTAACAAATCGAGTTTGAGTCGAGTCGACTCGATAATAACTGAGTCGAACTCCAAACGAGCTCTAACTGAGTCGAGTCGAGCCGGCTTGGCTCGTTTATAGTCTTAGTGGTGATGGTAAAGTTCATGAAGGTATTATGAAAGGCAGCTTGACTAATACTGCCCAGTACCTCTATAGTTTTTGAACTAATAGTTAGTTCTTGTGTTATTCGAAATATCCAACTACTTCCCCTGTCATCAGTTTTTACCGTTAAAACTAACTTTAGACTGATTTTGATCACTACATGATAGTATTGTGACTATTTTCTTTAAAAAAAAAAAAAAGGTTTTCTAAAATGTTAAAAAAAATCCTAATAATAAGTCAAAAAAGAACAAATTTTTTTAGTTTTAACGGAAAAAAGCAATGGTTGGAGAGGTAGTTGGATACTTCAGATAATACAGGGACTGGCTGCAATTTGAAAACTACAGGGATAATGAATGGAACAAGTCCAATTTAATCGGTAAATTATATATAAATCCTAAGGTTTGGGCCAAACTTAGGGCCCATAGGTTCCACTGGCATTAATTTTTTCAATTGAAACTACCTTTTAAGTGATATTGATTCTTAAAAAACAGTACTGGGTCGTTTGTTTCATTATTTTCCATCTTATTTCCAATCCTATTCTCAAAATAACTGTTTGTTTCATTATCCTCAAACACTATTATATTTTCTTTAACTATTTTTAAATCCCTTATGTTTATTAATTTAACTAAACACTCTCAGAAGAGAGTTTAAAAATTAACAAAAACACCTCCACTCACCCACATTTGTCAGATTCTGACCACCACCATCGAAAGGTGACTGGAATCTAGTATAATGACACACTACCAATTAGATCTGGTCGGTAGTGTGTCGATCTATCATCTTTCGGCCAGATCCACGGCCAAAGATCTGGCCGTAGTTGGTCGTCAATGACGGCCATATCTTTGGTCGTTCTAACGACCAAAAATGACTGTAGATCTGACCTTTTCCGGCCAGATCCGTGGTGGATCTGGCCTAAAAAGGCCATACCGGCACACGAACGGCCAGATCCGACCGGTCGTGAGTCGTAATGCCAGATTCAGGCGGTAGTGGCCGGAATCTAGCAACTGTGGGTGGGGGTGTTTTTGTCATTTTATAAAATTTTTATATATTGGGGTGTTTAGTAAATTAGCAAACCTAGAGGGTTGTTTTTGTTAGTTTTCAAATCCTAACTCGTTATTCCCATCCAATTCTAAAAATATCAAAAATCATATCCAAAATACTAAAACAAACACACCCAGTATTATCCTAAAAATTGAAATTTAAAAAATTCAAAAGAAAACCTGAAATAAAAAAAAAAAATCTTAAAAATACAAACAAAAAAAATCGTAAAATTATATTAAATTCATAATAAAATTAAATAAGCAAAATTCATAAAAATATTCTGGAAAAAAATTAAAAGCGTACCCAAGTTCAAAAAATATTTGTCTGTTCTTAATATGATATTGAATGAGTTCTTAGACTATGGAATACAAAATCTCATTCCTCATTTTCATTTCACAAAATAATTCTTTGAAATCAGCTTAGTAAAAAATATCCTACAACTAGCAATAGTCCTGGAGAGATGATGGGTTCTTGCATGAATAGACGTTTGAGAACTTCACATCCCTCCTTAAATGTAATCTCCTAAAAAAAATTCTTGGCTTTGGTCTCCCTCATTCATTAAACATTACACTTTGAACCCTAAAAATAATTTTCTAGCTCCGCCGCAAATCCTAGTGTAGGAAGATAATAGCTCTTGCAATCGTGACATTTTTGTTGTATTCTTACTCCATTACAAATACAATATAATAGCATGCATAATGATACTCATAGTTTATATTAGCAACATTATCTATTAAAAAATATATAGTGATATATATAGCAATTGTGTGAAAGGAAATAAAATGATTTTGTGAATGAGTAAATACCGTATTTGTAAATATATGTTCAATAGGGGAATTGCGTTCCTCATTCCAAAAATATTCAATGTTATGTGATGGTTGTACCCTATATAATTTTGGTGTGCTTAGACCTCTCTCATAAAAGATCTTCAATTTTGGGCATTGCCTTATAATTTACTTGTTCGAAGCATGGGAATTTGAAATCATAATTGGTCGAGCAAAAGCATCTGAGACTTGAGCATGAAAATATATATGCTAAATGCTAACACATTAAATTTGTGTTAAATTTACTTCCAGAAACTTAAGATATTTGAAGGATGTTGCTGAGGATGACATTAAATTTGTCAAATAGTGACAACTCCGTACTTCCAAAACTTTGGAGATTTTAAAGAAATGTGTCCACTTGGAAATCTTGTTTCCATATATGTCTTTCATATGGGAATAGCCTTTTTAAAGTATTACCAAAAATAGACGGAGTGTTTCCATATGGTATAATCTTTGAAGGAAACTGAATTGAAATGCAACCGACTCGTCATCTAAGTTAAACAACTCAAGAGCTTTAAGTTTCCAAAAGCTCCCAGTAATTGGAATATGATCGAAGCATACGGATGTAATGTTATTGGCATTTAAAGTCATTGTTTCCAAATTGGTTATGACTTGAAATTCAATGGACAAGTAGGTGTTATATATATATATATACTTGTTGTACAACCATGACTTTAATTATATGAAATTGTCATATATGCAATGTCTCCAAAGGTATGTTCTAATCTTTATTTTTTTATTTTTTTGAGTTAGGAAACAAGAAACTTTTTTATCAAAAACATTAAAAAAAAAAAAAAAAAAAGTGTTTGCATTAAGAGAAAGGTGCACTAAGCTGTGGTAAAAAAGAACAAAAGAAAATGTCATTCATATTCTTTTAACTGTAAATCCACAACACGAATAATAAAATATTGAAAAATGCTATCCTTACAAAGACCCATACAGAGAGGGCTACAAAGTGACATCATCCAGAAGAAAAAATAAAGAAAAAACGGAAAAAGAAAAAAGTGTTTGCATTAAGAGAAAGGTGCACTAAGCTGTGGTAAAAAAGAACAAAAGAAAATGTCATTCATATTCTTTTAACTGTAAATCCACAACACGAATAATAAAATATTGAAAAATGCTATCCTTACAAAGACCCATACAGAGAGGGCTACAAAGTGACATCATCCAGAAGAAAAAATAAAGAAAAAACGGAAAAAGAGAAAGAGAGAGAGAGAAATCATGAAAATCAAGGATAGGGATTATCTTTGTATGCCCCCTTTGTATGTGTCTTTGTAAAACTAGTATTGCTCTAAAATCTTAACCCTAAAGGGTTGACCTAGCAGTTTAACTTCTTAAGTTTGAACCTTAGTATCTTAAAACATTAGGTTTGTAAGGTATTCAATAGATCCCAGAAAGTAGTTAAAGTGCACGTAAACTGCTAGCTAGATAAGCCAATCTGATCCCAGACAGGCTATTAGCTTTATAAACTAAAAAACTATAGTGGATAGTGCTGGTTTCTGGTATTGAATGACTGGATTTCTATTCCATCGGTTTCAATCTGTGTCTGCTATAGCGGATTCATGCTGCTGGCAGGATGAATTTCCTGTCATTTTCTCAGAAGTCCAAACACCCCGATCATAAAAAAATAATAAGAATCTTATTTCGTTACTACAAACCAAAGTCCTTTACTATTTTAATTATCAGTTCTTTTAAATCTTACATTCACAGCTGCTTTGCTTTGTTACCATAGTTTATGATCAAAACTTCGCTTCACATAAGAGATGAATTTGGGGACGATCACTTACAAAAACCATAGCAAGTCAAAGTTAGAGAAAAGGCCAGCAGAAAGGAGTGAAGAGTTTAATTCCAAGAGTTATTTGTTCATTAGGTTTAAGCACTCAAACAGTATCACTTCAATCTTTTTGGATACGGCTGCTGATCAGAGCAGTAATCACAGCTTCTCTTGATGATAGTACTTGTTACTGCTAATCTATCAGGATCCAAAACCTCAGGCCTAGTATTGCTGCTAAGATTATTAGATGCTCTAATGAATTCTTCAACATCAGAATCATACACTGGACGGAGCCCACATTCTTTTACCTTGATGGTAAACCCTTCATGGGATTCATCCCTGAAAGAAACCATACTTAGATAAAAAAAATCATTGTAGGTGAGATAACTTCTAGAAATGTAGAACAACCACAGGTGATCTGTCCCAGCCAAGGTTTGTAGAGGGACTGACATGGAGACAGCAACTGTCCTTGGATTGTCCAGGAGTGTTTTCGAAACAGCATCTGTAGTTGTGAAATTCACTTCTAAATGACAACGAAGATTCATCCATTGGTCTTGATAGAAACCCTTTGGATGATGTACTGAAAAAGCAGCACAAAGTGCCAGTCCGCTACATGTTGGCATTGGTTGAGAAATACTTATTGATGACCCTTCACTCTGATGAATGAACCAGTCTGGAACTTGAGATCCGGGAACAATAATTTCGAAATCAGAACGTGTAACTCCACATTTAAGTCCCTGCGAATAAAGAAGAGGCATTATCAGAAGCTATGAGAGAGCAATGAGCGAGCCAGAATATTATTTTCAGAGGCACAGTTACAATTATGATCAAATAATAAATTAATCATGAGATGAAAATTGTTCAATCAAATTGTCCTACTCATAGTCAATGTCATCATGTATAGGAAAAAAGCTACCATTTCCTAATTGATTTTACAATTAATTAAACTAATGGTTATAATTAAAGATATTAAAACTAAAACTGAAGACACAAACAAATAAACCAATTTATATAACCCTACCTGAACTTGACTTTTTAACAGCGAATGAAGCAGATTTTTAAAAAAAGTGACTGTCACACCATGGGTTCTTCTACTTCCAGCCAGTCTGAAGCAATTATTAAAATAAAACATTCGTGGTGTTGATTTGAATATATGTGACGGACTTGATGATATTATTTCCAAGGATGTGCAATTCCGAGCATATAATCCATCTGTACTTGCTGGAAGCTCTGGCAAGGCCTGAAGTCGATCGCAATAGTCTATAGAAAGAGTTTCAAGCTGAGGGAGTTGACTGATGCTTGCAGGTAAACTAACAAAATCATTGCTACTCAAATTTAATTTTATTAATGATGGTAAGAAGCCAATATCAGAAGGAATTGCACCTTCCTGCAGGTTGCAATCACCTAGATCCAATTGTCTTAAAGAGCATAAACCTGATAAAGAAGAAGGTAACCTCAAGCCCACGGACTCTAGATTTGCTCTAGGGAACAATGGGAACAAGCTCGAGAGAGAACTCCAGGACTTTCTAGCTTTTCCTTTGCATCCATGAAAAGATAATTGTTCGAGGTTTTTCAATAGCACAATAGAAGATGGTGGTTGGCTCATAGCAGTTCCACCTAAGTCAAGACTTTCCAAACTTGCGAGATGGCCCAAGTCCTCCGGCAGTTTGTCTAGTTTTGAGCAGCCATTGAGATCAAGAACTTTAAGCGTTGCGAGATGCTTCGTATTGGACATGATCTCTCGAACACTACTGAGTTTTGAGCAGCCAGAAAGGATAAGAACTTCAAGAGACTCCCATTCAATTTTAGCTCTCAGACTCTTAAACTGTTTGCAGTCTTTCAAATTCAATAATATAAGCTTTTTGAGGAGTCCAATGGATGGGTGAACAAAAGATAAACTCGTACAACCATCAAGAATCAGTCTCTCGAGATTTGGCGCACCAGTGAAGTCTGGGGTCTTAGTTAAGTATTTTGAGTGACTGAGGATAATTATTTTCAACTGGTTCAAATGCTGATAGAAGGAAAAGAAAAACTTTGAAAAGATCAGTTTCAACAAACAGGAAAAGTTGTCTTACATTTTAGACAACGAAACAGAGATGTACATATGCAGTTGAGAATGTTACCTTTACTCCTTTCCAAAGTTGTTTAATGTGGCTGTACACATGTTAAGTTCGAAAAGTTTGTTGTGTTGAAAATTGGATGGCAAAGATCTCAAGGGGTAGCCATGTCAGTTGAGAAGACGTAGCTCATCTGAAAGATATTCAAGGCGTCGGCAAAGGCTTACATCTTTGATTTTGAGTAATCTTAGATTGTTCATCCTTGAAAAGGATTTAGCATTCAATTTTAACTCTTTGTACACGGGAAAGTCTGGGATTATGCCTTCAACAGCCTCTGTGCCCTGATGAAAAAGAGCAATAGTTAAGTGATCAGGTAAAAGATAATAAAACTTCAATCCTATCTATCTGATATTGTATCTATATATGGCACATTGTATTGACATAATGATGTTTTAAGTTTGCAATCTCTCCGGGACTGCATACCTCATTTTTTGTCAATATACGATGAATATCATTAGAAAGCCACAACCTACTACGCTGGCCAGGGTTTTCTGGGCACTCTCGGCGAACAATTTCCCTACCCATAGACTGTATCAAATCATGCATACACAATGAGTTGTTTGAAAGAGTTATAATACATTTATCAATCAAAACGCTAATTCCAATATCTGGGTGAAAATCACAACTGTCTAGTATTTCTCTTATTTCATCTTTGTCCCTCCCTTTAAAGAAACAAGCAACATCCAGAAATATTTTCTTCTCTAGTTCCTGCAGCCCATCGTAACTTATTTTGAGTATTTCAAAAATTTTTCTGTCAGGAACTTTTTTCAATCGAACCAATGCGTCTTTCCACTCAGCTTTACTTCTGCAAAACAAAAACGATCCCAAAACTTCAAGAGCTAATGGAAGGCCAACAGCATAACTGACCATTTGCAATGAGAGCTCTAAAAAACCACCAGTAGGATGACCTTTTCTAAATGCTTTCCAGCAAAAGAGCTGAAGAGCTTCCTCATGACTTAATCCATCAACCATATGCACATTATCCACGCCATGTCTAACAAGTAAATGTTGATCTCTAGTTGTAATGATGATTCTACTTCCCAACCCAAACCAATCATGCATTCCAACTAATGCTTGTAATTGTTCTAATTGATCTACATCATCAAGAATGACAAGAACCCTTTTATGCCGTAACCTTCTCCTTATCTCGTTACTTCCTCCGTAAACATCCCATATGTTTATGTTTCTTTCTATCAAGATTTGTGAAATAAGTTGTTGCTGTAGGGCGACCAGACCTTGTGTCATGGAAACTTCTCTCACATTGGCAAGAAAGCTACTACCATCAAATTGGTAAGAGATCTTGTCAAAAACATATCTTGCAAGAGTTGTCTTACCTATTCCCCCCATTCCGCAAATCCCCAATATGCAAACATCATTCAAACCTATACCTAGTATTGGATCCATTTGCTTCATTCGTGACTCCATTCCGACCAGATTGCCATTTGTATTTAAAAATGTAGGACCCAATTTACATGATATTTCGTCAACAATGCCTTGAATAAATGTGGGCTCTTCCCTGCAAATGAGGGAAAAAAAAAAATTCAATAATATGAAAAGTTAATATGATCTACAAATAGGTAAAATAATCTTATAGGCAATCTATTATTTTCTTTTCATTGGAATTAAATATGAATTACAATAGTGTCAAATAATTGAAACCAAATTAAGTTGAAGTAAACTACTAACAATCCAACTAGTGTAAGGGAAAAAATAACAGTACAAAAATATTATTTCTGTGTTTTGTTACCGAATATATTTCCAAATCTTCGACATATATAATTCCATTGATTTGTTTTCAGGTGCCCTGGAAATTGGCCTTGCTATCAATTTATGACTTGGCTAGAAAAAGTATGCACTCGTATGGGGCAACTTAATTTGAGACAAAGCTTTCTTTGAATCTAAGAGAACGGCAAGAAAAAGATCTCCGCACTGGCTATTAAATTTATGAAACAATTTTCAAGAGTAAATATGTAAAATAATACTGGAAAAATCTTAGATAGGCCAATAATATTTAATCCCCATTTAATTTTTAATCTTTGATCTGCCCCAAGCATACACTACATTTTGTGTTGAACTTCATATCAGCTATAATGTGTAATGTTGCATAATGTTAATTAGTAGAAGTTTATAGCACTTGCTGTTTAAACTTAAGATATATATTCTGCAAGGATACTTCTCAATACTTTTTATTTTAGTTTACATGCATTATCTGAGTATTTGTATATTCAAATTAACATATAAAAATAACAGATTGGAAAGATAACTATTTGTGTTACCTATTCTGCAAATGCCATCCAGACAGATTGGCAATCTCTGTCAAGGCAACCCTCCACCTTTGCACCTTTTCCACATCTTCCCCAAAATTTTGTTCATGTTCTGCAAAAGCTTTCTCAAAGCTTCCAGTCTGATTTCTAACCTCGGATGGACCGACATTGTAGAAAACTGGCAGAACTATCTGACCCATCACTTTCATGCATTCCCAAATCTTCGCGAGTTCATCCAGGCACCACGTTGAAAATGCATAATTTTCTAAAAAAACGATGAGTGCAAACCTAGATTCTTCTATTGCTTTAAAGAGTTCCAATGATATTACCTTTCCCCTATCAAGTCTATGGTTATCTTTAAAGGTAAATATTCCTTTCTGATCCAATGCAGAATATAAATGACCAGTGAAGTTTTTGCGCGTGTCTTTTCCTCTGAAACTCAAGAAGACATCATATTTCCATCCAGGCAAGGTAGAACAAGAAGGCAGGTTAGATGGTATTTCACTATGCATAATTGTGGATGCCACTGCCAACTTGCTTGTGCCAAGGTATTGCAGACAAATTAACTAAACCTGAAGAACATAAAAGATCAAAAAATTCTTCACGGACACAAGGACAAGGTGTACACGTTGAAGATAAATGTTTTCTTTTTTAAAAAAGAAGTTACATATAACTACCTTAACTTTTCTGGTTTTCCCTATCTGTTTTATTTTAATTATCACTCCAACTTCAAATTAAGCCTATCAGGACCACTACTCCGAAGAGTCTTGTATCCTTGCTTCCAGTTTTGGACCTTTGATTTATAGTATTAAAATATAGATTCTTTAATTGTTCATAACTTGAGTTATCAAGAATGCCATTGATTCCACCCAAAAAGTCTCAGTTGCGGACTTCCACATTGTTTAAAAATCAAAATTCCGGTTAGATGGTGCGAATATATTCCAAAAACAAAATTTTACGGTTTTCATTATGAGAAATTTTGATTATATTTCTGCCTTTTAATGTTTACCAACATTGTGAACCGTTTACCATGCCATCTAACAAGATTACGTCCGCATGAGAGACCAACTATGATTCTTCTTTATTTCTTTAGTAAGAAACATTACATCTTTTATTTGTATATCAATCCTTATTAAATATATAAAGAAACCATGCACAATTTGTATATCAATGATCAATCCTAATTATGTAGATAAAAAAATCATGCACAATTTGTATATCAACCCTTATTATGTAAAAAAAAAAAAATATATATATATATATATATATTACTTTTATTTCGTTAATTTTATTAAAAAAAAAAATCAATTTTAATTATTAGTCATTATTAGAAAAGAATTCTTGCCATCAACTATAGCATATAAAACATTTTGAAAGGTAACGCTCATTATACCTCTCATAATTAGGTATATGAGTATTTTTCAATTAATAAAAATTCTTTATATTATTGAGGTTTATCCAAATCCAATAAATATAATTAGATATTATTTCAAAACAATTTTGCAGCTCCCCCGAAAGGAAATTCCTGGTTTCGCCCTTCAACAATAGCATTCTCATATATAAATTTTATGACACGAACAAAGCACAAACTGCTGAAGAAAACAGATTAATTACAAAAATAAAACTAATTAAAACATACTTGTTCTGGCGACTTGAAGAATATCCGTTTGTTGAATTTGGAAACTGCTGAAGAAAAAATAATATAATATAATATATATATATTGGCTGATTTGTTCAGCTCAACCATAAACACAAACAACAGAACAAATTTCTGAGAAAATGAGAATGAAAGTGAGCTCAAGACATGAAGAAAATAATCAGAAAAATCAACAATTGCGTTATTGCTGAAGAAGAAGCAATGGAAATTTCGCAATATTTCCTCTTAAGAAATACAAAAGTATTGAAGACTTACAGTTACAACTTGTAGAGCCTTCGTTTCTTGCAATCATTTCAATAATGGAAGACTACACATATACAGAGTGATTTTGATTCATGACAATGAGAAAGTAAAGTTCGCGGAGGTCCCATAGAATGCTTTTAGTGTTGATGGTAAAGTTCGTGGAAGTATCATAAAACGCGTCTTCAGTCTTGGCTATGAACAGTTTTTCACGTTTAATAGGAACGATACTACCCATATTATCCCTGTAGTTTTTAAACTTATCCCACATATCCAACTACTTCTCCTGCCGTTAATTTTTACCGTTAAAACTAATTTTTGACCCATTTTGGCCATTATTGCCCTTAAAAAAAGTTTATCAAAAATTTAAAAGAAAATACTAAAATTTTCAAAAAAAATTCTTAAAAGTACTAAAAAATCTTATAATTCAATTAAATTCTTTAAAATTTTTAAAAAAGAAAACTGTAAAAAAAAATTTGGAAAAAAAAACTACCCATTTAGAAGAATTTAAATTTTTTTATTTTTTATTTTTTTTGCTTGCTTAATTGTTTTAAAATTTTCTTATGTTTTAGGAAAATTTATTGAATATTTAATATTAAATTAATTTTTTTTGAAAAATTTAGGGTGTGTTTGTTTTGTTATTTTAGATAGGATTTTGGGAATATTATTGGGCAGTTGAATAGGGTGAGTATTACGAGGTAAAATTTAAAAATTAAACAAAAAACCTCCTAGGTTTGCTAATTTAACTAAACATCCAATATATAAAATTTTATAAAATGATAAAAACACCCCCACACATCTACAGTGCCAGATTCCAACCACCACTGCCGTATTCTTGCTGGAAAATGGCATTACGACGCAGACTAGTGGGATCTGGCCGATAGGGCATCGATATGACATTCTCTTACCAGATTCACCATGGATCTGGTCGAAAAATGTAAGATCTACGGTCAGATTTGATCATTGACGGTTGCAAAATGCCATATTTGGCCATCGTTGTTAGTCAACGATATCCAAGATTTGGCTGTCAGCCTAGATATGGCATTTTCCAGCCATATCCACTGTGGATCTGACCAGAAAATGCCAGATCAAAGAATTACCAACCAGTTCTGATCGTTTCTATGTTGTTGTGACAGATTCCGGCAACCACCATCTGACAACTGTAGGTGGGTGGGGGTGTTTTTGTTAATTTTTAAACTTTTTTCTATAGGTGTTTAATTAAATTAATAAACTTAAGAGGACTAAAAAAATTAAAAAATAAAATAATATTTCTCAAATAATTAAACAAACAAGTATTTTGGGAATAGGATGGGGTATGAAATAATAAAACAAACGTAGATGTTTTTCTTAATTTCATAGTAACTTATATAAGATAATTTGGTCATTTCACAAGTCAAAACAGGTCAAAAAGTAGTTTAACGGAAAAATCTAACGGCCGGAGAGGTAGTTAGATAATTCGGATAACACAAGGACTAGTTGGGATTTTGTAAACTGTAGGGTACTGGATGGTATATGTCCAATTTAATAGGTAAATCAATTTAAATCCGTGAGGTTTGGGCCAAACTTAGGGCCCATAGGTTCCACTGGCATTAGTTTTTTCGATTGAAACTAACTCTTAAACGATTTTTATTCTTAAAAATACCAACAAAAAGAATCATAAAATCATATTAAATTAATAATAAAAATAAAGAACCAAAATTCATAAAATATTTTTGAAAAATAATTAAAAGCCTACCAAGTTCAAAAAGTATCGTAATTTTTTTTTTTTTTTGTGTGTTTTTTAGTTGCTTTAGGTAATTTTTTTATGTTTCTTACGTTTTAGGCATATATATATATATTTGAATTTTTTATGTTAAAATAAAACATTTCAAAATCTTAATATATATTTCTTAATTTTGAATATTGTTTTTTCAAAGATAATTTTGTAATTTCGATACGACAAGGACTAGATTAATTATAGATAATCAAAGGTAACAAAGATTAAATCCAAATATAAATTAATCTCTTGGCTTTTTCTTCTTTCATTTGAACGATCACTGTTCAAACAAATATTTGGCCAATGTCACTCTAAACCTAAATTGTTTTGACTACTACACTCTACGCCTCAAAACTTTTGATTTCTTGCACTTTGAACCCACAAAAATCATGAAATAAAATTCCAAAAATACGGGGTATTATAGATTTAATATTGGAATTATAAACATATGTAAAATAAAAAGTGTAGTCTTTGTTACAAATTTTCATTCTACTATGTTATATTATATTATTTTTCTTTGCATAACAATCGGATCAGCATTGACTCACCACATATAACAGTTTTGAATTATATTTAACTTTTTTTTTTTATAAGGTACATTGTTTTGTATAAATTACAAATTTTCTTTGTTATTTTAAAATTTTGGAGTCTGAAGATATTATCCAACATATAAGCATAATTATGACTATTAATTAACTCAATTTCCATTTTCATCAATGCCAGGAGAGACCGAAGAGTTGGATGGCAAAAGAAGAAAGACTTACTTTGAGTCAACGCCTTAAGTCTTTATTACAAGTTGATTTATAAAAGTGGACGCATATATTAATTTATTATGAAGCTGAGGATAAACATGAATATATGAAACCATCCCAGAAGAAAATACAAACATTCACCAAATTTTGGTGACCGGCTGCCCCTTTTCATTAATAAAAAGGAAGAACTAAATGAAATGGAGAGAAAAAGAAATATAATAAAATAAATAAGAGTCCCTATATCACTTCTTACGTTACAAACTCACAACAACATAAATTAAAATAGTATTTTTTATTGTACGATAAATTCTTGAAGCATGGAATCATGGCACGTATAATTCTTTTTAGGTTAACTTATTTACAAGTTTGTCATTGTAAAAATATATAAGCTTACTTTTTATTCAAATTACGGATCAGATTTTTTTATTAATACTTTGTCAACAATACTTGTGTCAAAAAGCAATTAAAGAACAGTGGACGTAGGCTTTGCACTAAACATCTTAACTACTTTAAAAATTTTCTTTTTGTGCTATTGTTTGATTTCTTATTCATCTATTAACCCAACATCAAAATAACAGGTTTTATATAAACTCCTGCGTAGATTCAATTACGGATCCTACGTACTTCTCATTAGTGCAAATCGCAATATCAACACCTTTAATAAAACTTTTATATCAAAAGCCTAGAAGCATTTTGAGGATGAACAAAATGATTGAGCTTAGTTTGGATTTATTTTAGTTTATCTCCGGTCAATTATTTCTTAAGTTGTAATTCAAAAAGCATTTGCTAAACTAATTTAAAAAGAGGTTATATTAAAATTTGAATATGAAATAATCCATATAAATGAATTCAATAAGTAGGTTTATGTGACTTTTGAAAATCAAAAGCTGTTTATGAAATATTAATTATCAAAATACTTCCATTATTTTATAATAATAATTACTTAATTAAAATAAAGGGTTAATAACAACCCCTTAGGTATAATCAAATAACCATAATCCCTATGGTATATAAATAACATAAATCTCCCTACTGTTAATCTTTTAGTGTTAAAATAAACGATAGAGAGACAATTAAATAAATGTTCATTCACATATCATGTTATAA